CCTTGATAAACTAGCGCTTTGCGGGAGGCAACCCGTACTTTAATTTGCTTTTTAGTTTAGTTTTTTTCTTCTTTTTATGTGTGTGTGTTTTATTTCATTTTTTTTATTTTTCTCTTTTAGAGAGGTAAGGAGAGTGTAACTTATGCTTGTGGGAGTTTATTTTTGTGCAGATTTTGAGCTAGTGAAGGCTTCATTCACGCTGGAACTGCACTCGTATTCGATCGGGCAGAGCTCGCCCGATCAGGCGCGCGTAGCGTCAGCAAAATTTGTCAACTTTGATAGGCCATAACTTTTGCGTTTCTTATCCAATTTAAGAGTGTGACCTATTGTTGGAAATCTCTTCAAGTCTACTTTCCAAGCAATTAGAATCACTGCATTATGACTTATATATCAAAAGTTATGATCGAAAGAGTACATCTGTCTCAAATTTGGACTTTTTCCCACCAACACTTTGTTTCTTTCTTGCCCAAATTTGTTCCAAAGAGATGCATTGCAATCCTCGAGACTTTGGTGACATTATTGTGGTGATGTTGAGGAGTAGTCACCTTGACTACTAGCTTCCCTTTATTAAGACAATGAGGACATTGTCTGATTTATCTTGGGGGAGGTTTTCGTGTTCGTATGGTATATCTTTCACTCCCTCTTTTTTTTATTTATTTTTCTTGGTGTGCTTAGTATAGATTTTATTGCTTTTATAAGTTAGATTTTATTGCTTTTATAAGTTAGTTTTTATTGCTTTAAAAAAAATCCAAAAATACATTCCAATGAATAATAAATCATACTTCCCTGTGCCCCTTGATTAAAAATTTTCGAAATTGTTTTGATTCTTGGTTATTGATGATAAATATTGTGGATTAGTTGATCATGATTCAATGTTTAATTGTTTGGATGCCTAAACATGCGTCAATTTTGCAAACTACTTGTGAATATAGTGTTTGACTAGTTGATTTGGTTGGGAATGTGTGTTAGTTCCTGGTATGTCAATGAATTTGAGTATTGATTTTCAACTATAAGTAATGTTTGTATGACTCATTATTATGCACATTGTGGAGGACGAAGGCATTTGTTCTTTTAGGTGGCGTTCAGATGATTGTAGAAACATTTGTTCCCTTCTTGCTACCCATGTTGTTGCCTTGACTTTTTGTTGTTTATTAGCCACATTACAAGCCTACTTTGCCCTATTGGTTACTAGTCCCAAGCTTGGCTTGGGGGAGCTATTAGTGAGTGAGGTGAGGGAGTTTGTAGTGTGCTTATTATTTGCACAATTTGGGTGGGTTTTGAGAAGTTATTTTGTTCTTGATCATGTTTATTTTTGATGAGTTTGAAAGTTTAATTTTCTTGAAAAAATAAAGTATGATTTTATGAAAAAAAAGAAGTTCAAAAGAAAAAAAATAAAAGTGAAAAAAAATAAGTGAACTTCAAGAGAAGAAAAAAATTGTTCAATGTTCAAATGTTCTAGTTGGAGGTTGATCAAAAGAAGAAAAATAAGATGATGAGCTTCAATGAAAAATTCAAGTTTGAAAAATAAAGTTTGTTTATTCACTCCAGATCTTTATTATTATATCTTATGAGTGAAATTGTAAGAGTTGGGATTATTTATATTGTTTGGAGTTGTATTTGGTGGATTATTGTTGGGGTTGATTTGTCTAGGAGAGGTTGATTATTATTTATTTTGATCATGGGTTTTACTAGGGTTTGCTCCCTTAAGCATAGCTCTTCTCTCACTTGTTCCCAAATGATTTCTACCTTTTACCCTAGCCTTACATTACAAGCTTTAAAGACCTTCCGACCTTTGTGCATAGAGTTGTATGAATGTGAAAGTGTTGTTTATCAATGCAAGTTATGATTTGACATATTTCGAGTCAACTAGTAGGTTGAGTATAAATCTTTTTAAACACACGAGAGTGTGAGTTTGGGGGGACATTGTTCACATTAAAGGGGTGGTTGGAGAGCGATCGAGTACATCTTTTACTCGCCACATAAATGAGAGTTGAGTGTGTGAGCACTAGTCTTGAATTCTATATGCTCTTGTGGTTTGCTCTATTTGACAATTGTTAGGGAAGATTGGTAGTTGGATGGATTTAATTGATTGACTTTGATACATGTTTGTCGACTTTACCTTGAATTGTATTTATCGATTTAAATTATTTTGGGGGTGAAGTATTGATTTATTTATTCATTGCTTTGCTTAGGGATAAGCAAAGGTTTGGCTTGGGGAGTTTCATAAATCTATTTTATATATATATTTTTTATTCCCGTCCCACGGTCATATTTGTGCTTAATTGAGCTCTACGGAGCTATTTTTATTACTAATATACGTTTTGTAGTGTTTTTGTGGAGTTGGCATTATTTTATAGGAATTTGCAGATTTATGATAATTCCCGAGCTTATTGAGCCACTACGAAGACATTGGAGCCGGATCGTATTTTATGACCGTATATTTAAAGCCCAGGACCGAGATAAAGAAATTTAGTTCGGTGATTCAAGGCTCGATATATGAGGAGGTCCAGGATTTTACAAGATTATACAAGTTATTATTACGGACCAAGCAAGTGAAGAAACTAAGGCTAATAAACTCTAAAAGCCCAAGTCAAAACCTACAAGGCCTGGTAAATAGATGGGTTCGATCTCCTTGGGCCCTACTCCAGCTGACCCCGTATTTGCTCCAAATTCACGCGGCTTTTGTATTTGGGGATTTATTCTTTGTTGGTTAATGGGATCTTTAGGGTTATTTTCCTATATAAAGGAATAGTAGTTACGTAGGATGGTAGGTTAGCTTTTTCATTGTTTAGTTTTAGATTAGTTTTAGTTAGTTTTATTTGTTTTGTGTTTCATTAGTTTAGTTTTAGTTTTATTAATTTGTTATTCGTTTTAGTTTAGTCTTTTTTTCTCTTTCTCTCTCCAACTTTTCTCTCTCTCTCTCCTTTTAATTAAAACTCTTAATCTTACTTTCTCTCTTATTTCTCTCTCTACAACTTTTGATTTAATTTCAGTAATTTATTCTCTTTCTTTGATCATGTCTCCTTTAATTGTTTTGTTTAGTTTAGATTTAATTATGTGTGAGTAGTTTTCTTTCTAGGGTTTATAGGGATCTATAAATAATATGAAGGGGTAATTTATTGTTATTGAATGTCAATGCTTAATTAATTTCCTATTGATTGATTTAATGCTCTGTGACTAGATCAGGCCTGATCTTTTATGCATGAGTTTGACAATATTGATTCGAGATTCGAGAGATGAGAATTGATGTTTAGGTCTAGGTTCAATAGGCAGGTTAATTTATAAATGGTTAAGTCGAGATTCGAGAGATGAGATTTAATACCGGTAGATTAATTATGTGATTGTAATACGTAGTGAAAGTCCTTTATGATCTGATTAATTTATGCATTGATGATTGATTGTTATGTTTTACCCTGGAATATTATTTATTGGTGAACCTATGCCCTAGGTATTTTATTCATTGATTTTATCTATTCTTATTCTTATCTACTTTTACTCTTAGTAGTTTAGTTATCCTTCGATTACAATATTTTGGTTACTTAATAATTTAGATTATAATAACTAATTAGGAATAGAAAGACTTGTTTCCCTGTGGATTCGACCCTACTTCCCTATCTACATTAGTTAGAGGATTTAGGAATTATTTTTGATTAGGTGATACGACTTTAGCCTGTCATCGGCCCAACGCATTCTTTCACTTGAAAGACCACATCGAGCTATGGATGATTTTGTATACTAGAAATTTTCTAGGGATGGTTGCTTTTCTACTAAGTCGGCCTACTCTTTGTTGGTTAGACAATCCGTCGTTTCAATTGTCAGTTCTCCGGCTCCTAATCAGTGGTGGAAATCCTTCTGGGGTCTTCCCCTTCTACCTCGATTCAAGGTGTTTTGTTGGAAGATACTTCATAATGCCCTACCATTATTGGAAACTCTGGCTTCCAGAGGTCTTCCGGTGGATCCACTTTGCTGCTTTTGTCGTCTGCATTCTTAAACGACTGCCCACTTGTTCAAAGATTGTCCCTTAATTAGTTCCCTTCGGGATTTAGCCTTCCCCTCTCTGAATAGTGTGGCCTGGTGGTCTTGCACTTCAAGGAGTCCAAGGATTAGATAGGTCTCACATCCTTCGTCTCCTTCCTATGGACTATCTGGATTATTAGGAATGACAGTGTTTTTCGACAGGCGGTTTGGTCTCCCTGTTTATTTCATCGTCTCTCTAGGGAATGGACAGCTAGAGCCCTTCAGGCTCAGGAGTTCCGTCGACACCTTACCTCCTTGGCTGGAATTCCTCTTAAGCCGGTCCACCAAGTGGCTCCTTTGTGTATACAGGGGGATTCTACGGATATCTTAGATCATTGTTTAGTTTTTGATGGAGCCTGGCTTTGCAGTGATAATCGTGCAGGTGCTGGCTGGATTATTTGAGATGCGAACTCTGATAGAGTTCTCGGGGGTGGAGCGTGTGCTTGTCGGGCTCATAATGCTCTTCAGGCGGAACTGCAGGCCTTCTTAGGGGGCCTCCGGTTGGCCTTGCGCAGGGACCTTCTGCGTATTCTTGTTTATACTGATGCGCTCTGCTCGTTTCCTTGTTCCAGTTGTCTCGGTCCCTTTGATATCTCCTACTTCTGGTTGCTACGGGAAATTCAAGAGCTTCTTCCCCGCTTTTTGTCTTGTCGGCTATGTAAGGTGCCTCGACAGTGGATCGCTCTAGCACATTGGTTGGCAGTTAGTGCTCGGGATCGTCGCTACCTTTGTTAGTCCTTTTAGTTTTGCAGTTTTTGTTTGTTTTGTTAGTGATCTTTGTCAAAATAAATAAATAAATAAGTAACAAACTATAACCATTACTGAGTAATATTTATTTTGATATCTTATAAACATATATTCAAATGAATTTTTTTTTTCCCAAATGAGAAGCTCTTTTACCATTTCCACTTACAACAAGCATAAGGGTATTAGAGCAAGATAAACTAAGATCTTACTAACTCATCACGCTTATTCACATAGTGTTGCTTATAACACCATTCAGAAGCTGAGATTTGGTATAGGGAGAAGTACATCGTCAACAAAATCATACACACTGTCCGAAACTCCAAATATTAATATTAACTACAGAAACTGATTTCATTTATAATCAAGAAATGACTCTCTATACACAAAAATAATAGTAATAATTTAATCTTGTTCAAGAAAAGAAAAAATAAATCATCAAAACTTCTCAGCCATTATAGCCCATCACATCTCACCTAATGCTTTTTTAATATCACCCTGCAGAACAAGAGGTCAAAGAAGAACATTCAGATTTCTGGAAATATAGCAATGAGAGTGCGAGATGTAAAGATGAGGAAGACTGGAAGAGCATGAAGCACCTCGATGGAAAGCGGAGGAGTTGTTGTACCATATCGTTTGACGACTTTTCCATCCTTGCCAACGAGGAACTTTGTAAAGTTCCATTTGACACTGTTTCCAAAAAGAGATGAACGCTTACTTGCTTTAAGGAATTTGTACACAGGGGCTGTCTTCGGTCCATTGACGCATACCTGTTACAACAAATTCAAGTACAAACAATTGGGAAGTGGCAGAAATGTGATATTAGTAGCTTAGTGCTATAGCTGGAAACAGATAGATAAATAATTATGCACAAATATATCAGTAACCAGGTTAGCTTCAGCTCTTGTTAGTGTAATGGGAGTTCAAGGAATACCACTAAACAAGAGTTATTTCTGTAATCTCTACTTTTTCTTTTCTCACCCACCTTTTCTTTGTTTCATCTTGTTTAAATAGCTGTGTTCGAAAATTGTCTTCTGTCACTTGGGTTCCCCCCACCCCACTTGGTCAAGCAGCACACGAAGGGGTGGGTGTGTTCAAGAAAATTTTTAAATGCAAACATCCTAAAGAACTGATGCGATATGCTCCTTGACTATAGATAAGAGAGGTGCATACGAGAAAAAGATAAGAGAGGTGCACTAGTTGCTCGTGCCCACTAATATAGACCCACGGCAGTGAACTATCAACTTAACACACCGTTCACTGGTTCAACACCCCCTCCACCACCCCCCCCCCCCAACCCCAAAAAAAGGGGGGGGGGGCAGTGGGAGCACATTAACTTCCGATGCTCTGACAATACGCAGTGTGGAATTCAAATATGGGAGTGCCAAATGTGCATGATCAAAGTGGCAAAATCACTATTTACAGTGAGTCAGAAACCTAAGACCTGTCAACCAGAGAATATTCAAGTGGAATTCCATTTGACTGTTCACGATATTCTGACCTGATTGTTGCTGTTATTTTTCAAATAATAAGATGCTGATAAATGGAAGCTGCAGGCCAGCTGCTGATCTAGGGCTGAGGAAATTCTTGATTTTTTTTTTTTTTTTTATTTAGTGGGTTGAAATATACACAACTGTTATATAATTTTCACTTTTAAATCAAATTTCTTTTCAGGAAGAGAAGCTTAATACAACTGCTAGATAAGCAAGCCAGTGACCAAGCCGTACTTAACACTACTTTCATTCCTTGTCGTCAAGCAAATCCATTTTACTTTGAAATAGTTCTTTGGGCATAATCCCTCAAAAAGTAGGAGGCTCAGGTTTTGATAGCCCTCTAAGATATAAATTAATTATTAATAAATATAATTCATTAAAAATTAAAGAAAATTTCATCATTAAAAAGACAGGAAAATTTCTAAACCTAAACTAATAATAATTTTTTTCCCCTCATTCAATATCAGTTAGATAGGATACACTACCATAAAAAATCCAAAAGGATGCAGAGGACACCATTCTATGGTCTCTATTGTCTATCACACAAAACCTGCCAACTACAAGTTCAGCCCATGAAATCCAATTATGCCTTTTCAAGTTTCAAACCACAAAGCCAAAAATGGGTAAAATCTAATCATTCCTTTTCAGCCACAAAACTACCAGTGAGAAATACCCAATCTTTCCTTTTCAACCACAAAGCCATAAATGCTCTCCTCCCTCATACTTCCACATAATAACATCATACCAGTAAATGCTTCATGAAAGACCCAAACCACAACCATCAAATCCCAACATATTTCATAATAAGAAACTAATCTACTATACAATAATATACTGCTCTTAGATTCCTCACCAATGGCAAGAAAATATGAAACCCAAAATTTTCACTGTTAGGTACGTAGCACTAACATAAGAAATTTGACACATAGGGTCTAAAGTCTAGCATGTATTGAGCCATACTGAACATGCAGTCAATAAAATTGTTTTGATTTTCCTTAGAGACCTTTGCTTTCCAACTAAGTGATAGAAGACGAAGTATATTTTATAAGGTGTTGTATGAAAGAGTACTCAAAGAATTTTAGAAAAAGGAAAAATCGTCGAACACTCCTAAGAAATTTGTAAGCCACCCTAAAAATAAATAAAAAATCAATGCCTACTCCTGACCTCAACTAAAAAGGAAGTTACAATCAGAACACACTGCATAGTAGGAAGCTGAAAGACAACAAAAAGAAATGTAAAAAAGGCCATGGAATCCTCAATCAATCAAAGCCTTAATCCCATAAGTGGGAATATGACCAAGGGATAATTGAACAAAAACACCTAGATCATAAATGCAAAAGCATCATATTTGTTGCTTCTAAAGACTGGGTACCAAAAGGGAACTTGATTCAAGGTAGAATGAAAAAATATATATAGCAACCAAGAAAATGTTCCAAGGCCATATAACAGCGACATAGTTCTCCTCACAGAGCCTAGATCTCTTTTGTCCCATTACTATAAAATATAAATCATCTCTTGTATCCTCCACATTCTAGATAAAATAAAGTTTCTAACAGACGACATGTGAAGGTATATTATTACTAAACATGAAAAAGGCCACACATCAAAAGAAATCCGCACAAGATTATAAACTAAGGAATGCTCAATGAGGACAAGTATACATTCCACAAAAATGAAACTCCCAGCAAAAAAAACTGCAAACTTACCTTTTGAAAAATGGGATACTCAGCACTGAATCTTGTACAAGCAAAATTTGCAGCATCTTCACTTGTCCCAGGTTCTTGCTTTAGAAATTGATTGCAAGGAAAAGCCAAGACTTCAAAACCTGAGATACCAGATGCAAAATGACTTTTTCAATAAAAAAAAAAGGGGGGGGACAAAAAGGTTTCAGTTGAGTATAAAGAGATCGAAATGAGTGAATAACTTCTCTGAATAAAGCACAGTTAGCACAACTGATTCAATAAAAACTTAAAACAATTTTGATTCACAATCACTCGCCTACGTTTCCTAATCTCTTTTTGTGTCCCTTCACTCACACACCTAGCTCTAAGAAGAAGAAAGGCATTGACATCTCTTAAAAGTCCGAATTAAAGTGAGTACCAACTACCAAGATATTTAATGTCATGTTCACTTCAGACATCCCCTTCAAGCTTCAACCAGTCATAATACATACATATAAGACCCTTCATTGCTAATAGAGAAAATTCGTTTTGGACAATACATTTGTGATGAGTCTTTGGGTTTTTTTTTTGGATGAATTATTAGTGTGACAATCCAATAATGCAAAGCATGTATTCAATGCACTGTGTCATCCTAGAAAAATCATTTCATTCTTCATTGATGAGATTTTTTTAATTTTATGAATAATTAGTGTGACAATCCAACAATGCAAAGCATTTATTCAATGCATTGTCATCCTAGAAAGATTAGTCATTTCATTCTCCATCGGAACTCCGCCACTAGGTTTTCCGCTGCAGTCCCAAGCCTGGATAAAGGAGGGTTACGATAGGCCAGTGACATCCAATGTAAAACTTTGTCACATTGCTTGACATGAGCCACAATTATTGAGAGTACTACTAGGATCGCTGACCTCTTGGGAAGTTCTCATGTTGGATTAAGGCATTCAAGCAGAAGAAAAAGATGAAACTCATGAAAGTTTAAGTTCTTTTAAATTCTAAGTTCTAGCAACAGGTTCCAAAGATTCCTAGATCACCACCAAGGTTATGAAGGAAACAATTGAGTCAATAACGTGTATCAGACAAAAAAGTCCTGCATATGCCTAGAATCAACACTAATCCATAAGAAATCAATAGGTAAACAATAATAAAAACCCCACAATTTACACTGTATTTGCAACATAGGAAAAGAAAATATATTATTAAAGGTACATATGGATATGGTATTATGATTAAGGACTATTAGACTCCAATGTCCGACACAATTCTTCGTCTAACAGTGATCCAGTAGTAAACAAGTCTACCAACATTATTACTTATTCATTATTCCCATCCCATTTTCAAAACCATGGATTTAAAAAGAGCCATCTCCTGAACCCTACTGCCATCTCGCAAATAGTATCACCAATAGAATCATTATAATCTCTCATTAGTCATACACAACAAATAACCCCCAATCTTTTTCTCAAATCCTTCCACTTTTCCTCCTGCTCCCAGAACCATCACAAAATAATTTTCTAAATTTGGTCATTTTCTCAATATCTCACACTAATTTCACTAATTGTAGTTCTAACTTCACAAACAAAAGACAATCACAAGTTTATCATACTAATACATAACAACCCAAAAACAAAACAAACAAAAAGCAAAAATCTTACCATTATCCCTGTATTTCTGGTACAATTCTGTCAACTGGGTATAATTTACATTGGTAAACCCACTGCATATACCAACAAAAACAACAAAAACACAAATTCTTACACTATAAACAACCAAAATATAATAAATTCAAAAATCAACAAACCAATTTAAATCAATGTAAAGTAGGATTACCATTTTGAAGCAACGTTGACAACCAAAAGAACTTTCCCTTTATACATACTTAGATCAACATCCTTTCCCTTATTATCCTATTCACACAATTGAAATTATAATAAATACCTTACATCCAATTTTGGATTTCTCAAGTGGGATAATACAATTTTTCATATAAATCAACCAAAAAAAAAAAGAAAAAATTTCAATTACCTTAACAGTAAATTCATGGATGGATTGTTGTGGGACTGATTCAACAGCACCCATTTGAGTGGAAAATGAAATAAAATTAAACAAAAATAAAAAAAAAAAAAAATTATAGTCCCTTTTATCTGAAACTAAGATCGACTAAAGATTGAGTAGATGAAGATGATTGTGTTTGTGTGTGTAGGTTTTTTTTTTTGAGGGAATGTGTTTGTGTGTGTAGGTTGTTAGCTGCCATAAGAAACGCGGCAAACACTGATTTATTTACACAGGATGGTATTGGGTGGGCCTCCAAGGTAGGGGCATTTTCATTATTATTATTTTTATTGGTAGAAAAGCATTAATTAAAAATGTTGGTAGTGGTTGTTCCACCTTAATTAGATTAAATAATAATAATAATAATAATAATAATAATAATAATAATAATAATAATAATAATAATAATAAAAACAATAATCTAATATATATATAAATAAATTAGGCATTTTTCGGGAGCATTTGATGCGCCACATAAGAAAAAGGTATTATTTTGACCAATGAAATTTTAGATTAATAATTTATTTTAGAATTAAAAAATTCACTCGCCACCTAAGAAAAAGTGACGAATAAGATTTAAGAATTTTGCCATAAAAATAACGAATAGTGAACAATTGAAATTTAAATTATTTTAAAAACTAATAATTATGTTTTTTACATATATGGATGTAAATCTTTGATCGTAAATATCTTTAATCTCTCCCTAGCAAATATTATAAAAATTAGATATTAAAAATGTACTCATCGAAACGAATAAAACTAAATCTCATATCACTATGTTTTTCCTTATATACAAAGAGAAATTTAGAAGATTCCCCCTAATTTTTTTAATAGTTAAAAGATTTTAGATGAGACTGACATTTTGAACAGAACGAGTATATAAAAAAACGCATTTGCAAAGAACTTATTTTAATCAATAAATAAAATGATTTGTCATTTATTTTTTATTAAGAAAAATTAAAGAATAAGGTTTGGAATTTTAAATTCAAGCGCCACGTAAAAAAAAATAAACCTATGAAAGATAACTTTAGTGTTAAAATTTAAAAAAAAAATTATCTTATGATATTAGGAATTTTATTCAAATATCCGATGAATGATCTTCATATTAAAAAAATCTTAAATTAATTAAAAAGATTTACTAGAACCGTGCATCGCACGGGCTTATATCTAGTAATAATAATTATACTCCCTCCATCCCCAATTGATAGTCACTTTTGAAGAAAAATCACGAGAATTAAGGAGAATTAAAGAAAGTATATTGAAAAAGTAAATTTACATTGGGTATGCAAAAAAATAGAGAGAAAAAGTAATTAAAGTACATGGGAAAGTAAAATTTACATTGGAAAGTTAAATTTGCACAAATATTTTTGCAAATGTTAGAGAATTTTGGTAAAAAAATACTATTAATGGTACTTGAAAAAAAACAAATGTGACTTACATTTTGGGTGCCCAAAAATGGCATAAGTGACTATCAATCGGGGACAGAGGGAGTAATTATTATTATTATTATTATTATTATTATTATTATTATTATTATTATTATTATTATTATTATTATTATTATTATTATCTAAAAAACAAAAGTCATACAACCTACAATAAATTAGTGGGAAGCCGAGATACAATTTGAGCTCCCACTCCTCTAGCTATAGCAAAGCTTACCTTAGTGAAGATATGAGCTGCCGCACGAGCTCCAATGTCTTACGTCGTCGAGAACCACTGAACCCGCTTCAGCAATGCAACAGGCCCCTTCTCTAATCCCACAAGAGAAGAAAAGGAGAAGGGGATGAAACCATATCCATTCGCCCGACAACGAGCTTCGTACTTAACCCGCTTCCAATGAGTCGCATCAACCACAACCCGTCCAGGAACAAAGTCATCTAGCCCTGTTTATGTCAAAGGAAAAGACCATGTGAAGTCGACACATACATCATGACCACAATTCCATGAATAAAGTAACATATCGGCAGGTCTGAGGGCTCCGTCATTCCCTCCCGACAATCCTATGTCAACCTCCTATCTTGCTGAAATCCCAGATGTGTAGCGAATATCAACAAGGGTATCCCGAACAACATTATGTCGATGTTTAATACCCACAATGCCAGCACACGACGACGGATGGTCGCCGAAAATATCCCCAGTAAAAACCCCAAGCAGAGCACGCCGTCGAGATAGAGAACAATGGAACACCCATCCGGTAGAACAGCACACATCGGTATGTTTTCGCGTTCATCGTCTGACTCAACCCAAAAATAGGGACAACCCATAGCCAAGCAAAGGTGTGAACTCCTTGCTGCGATTTCCACAATGCTGATTGACGAGAAGATAAAGAGAATGTGGATTCTACAAATGTGGTAATCTTTTTGAAATATATATCTACCGATTTCTTCGGGATTTTAGGGGCAGCGATCTTACTAGGATTACTCAAAATTTCATACTCAACCACTCCATTATATAGAAGCAACGCATCCGCGAAGACTCGACCTAGGCCAACAACGCTAGCATGCCGTAAAATCTGTGTCTGCAACCCAACAAACTATAACCGAGAGGCAAGAAAGGCATAATGACTAACATCACCTGCGGAATAAACACCAAGTCCGCCAAATGCAAATGGTAAGGTGGCAAGCCGCTACTGCCCATCGCCAAACCCAGGACCTGAAGCAGTAACGATACGCTCTAAGGACGATCAAAGAGCCTTGTAAAAAGTGCGCTAAGCCACCTCAAAAGTACTAGGAGGACAAGTACGTAGAGAAAATTAGAGTTTAGAAACTTCGGTACATGCCCTAAGTAACAACAACTCACACTAGGGATCATCGAGCTTAGCAACTCTATCCATTAAAGCAATGGTCTTGGTTACCCTCTGTATCACAAGGTCACCTCCAAAACCGGGATCAGAACTAGCTAGACCGCCAAGTAACTTAACACCATGTGAAGGTCGAGAAATATTAGTCGGAAAGACACCCACAAGCCTGCTTCGAGGGTCCTCTAAAGGCCAGAAAACTTCAATTTTTTCCACATTGTGATGTAACCCAAAACGAGGCCCTTCCTCCATGATCAACTCCAAAACTTTCCCTATCACTAAAGTGTCACCAATAACATTGTTGTCATCCAAATACCACGCCTGAAGACATAAGTCAAAAGCATCTCTGTTTTTACAAACCAGGAGCTGTAAAACCAAAGCAAAAAGTAGAGGACCAAGGGGAACACCCTGCTGCACCCCCTGACACGGCCATAAGGATTGGTCCCCATAATATAATCTGGCTGGATTTGAATAGAAAAATTCAACCCATCGCAAAATGCCCATACAATGACGACAAACTTCACGTAACATGACCGTACGATCAATAAGATTGAAGGCATTTTGAAAATCCACTAATAACATAGAAAGACCAACCTCAGAACTGCGATCCTCAAGCAACTGATTGAAAAATACCAAACTACTTAACTTGGAAGTATATTGATAGTATGACATAATGTGTGAGATTTGCTAATGTACAAAATGGCAATTGTTTCGGGGTTTTCTGATGTCCTGCGGGAGAGTTACAATTCCGAGACTGGAACCGGACGCCTGTACCTGCAAAATAACGGAGACTCCTGAGAGCTCCGCCTCCAACGGTCAAGTTAGTACCTGATTAAGGAGTAATTAATACAGAAATTAAAGTAATAAGGTCTCTCTAGGTGAGAGTATTTAATGTAGGTAATCTGCTTTGCTAGCGAGATCAGCCGGTTATTAGTGTGTTCCGTAAATTATTCGGTCCCCTGATTAATGAGGATTAATCGAGTATTTATAGCCTTGGGAAGCGTGCAACTCTCTAGGTTTAAGGTAAACCTAGGGCCGATCGGGCTTCTAGACTGAAATGGGCCTTGATGGCCGGTTGTCCCATTTGGCATGGGTGGACACGTGGCGTGTCTTAAGTGGTCCGTGGAGGACGCGTGGCGGAACCTGGTTGGTCCACTTGTCAAACGGCGCTTGGTGGATAAAAATCCCCTAATCATTTGCCCCTCACAGGTGGCACGCGACTGGTCACGTGTCGCCTGTGACAGGTGTCGCACGGTGACAGGCGACGGCCCGTTACAGGTGTCACCTTGCAGACGGCCGGGAGATTCTCCCGCCCAAATTTGAATTCGGAAGCGACCCTTCGCCTTCTCATTTTGCCTATAAAAGGAAGTGCTGACTTCGGTCATTTTCACATTTGAGAATTTTTGCGAGAACATTCGGACCCCTGAACTTGATCTGACATTTTCGGACTTTTTCTGCCTACCGCCTGTTCTGACAAGCCGACTGACCCGAACTTTCAGGACTTCATCAACTGTCATCCGTTCAGGTAACTCAGTTCTCTTACTCTTAATTTTCTTTTTATTTTTTGAAATGGCACCATGGAAGCACACGACACGCCCTAAGTTAGTGATCAGCCGGTCACCGGGGACGGCTGAATCTAGGACTAGGAGTGCCGCCTGCCCTTTTCTGGACCCATCTTTGCCCTTTATACAAAGTCCGACTGAATCTGTGTCTATGCAGAACGTGATGGCCAGAACAAAAAAAGACTGCTAGAATATCAAACTCAGACGGCTCCTCCCAAAGGGTACTCCTTAGCGAAACATCTGACCAGGCGCCAGATGTGGAACGAGGCGACTGTCAAGCTGACAGTTCTGAGAGAGGGACCAAGGTGTTCCCTTCTCATCTAACCGTGGACATGTCTAATTTACCTTCTGCTCCTTCTAAGGGAGAGGAGGCGGGCCCCTCTAGGAGAGGGGAGGAGTCGTCCTCTTCGGACTCGTCAGGGGACGAGTCCGATTCCAGCTCTTCTGACCATAGTTCTTCTGACCATAGTTCTTCTGACTCAGAAGAAAAACATAACCGCCTACAAGAGGCGAGAAGTTCCCATGCAGTGGAGAAGGGGGATAATTGGGCAGAGCCGTCCGCCTCTTACAGAGAGGAAAACACCCCCTACTACTGCAGGGTGCCCCGGGCCGGATCGCAACCATGCGAGACAACGTGGCGAGCTTTATTGCTAACCACAAAATGAGCCCGGAGTATTTACTATTTGTGCCGGATCCAGAAGATACTGTCGTCTGGCCGGCTGGTACCAGCTATGGTGACGGCTGTTTTGGCTGCTATGTGGCGGCCATCAAAGCTGGTCTGCGCTTCCCATTACATCCGGCTGTTCAGCGGATTTTAGATGGGTATGATCTGGGGTTATGGCAGTTAGCCCCCAACTCTTGGGTAAACGTACTCGGCTATGT